CACCCAGGACCCCCCTGCACCCCCAGTCTCAGCACCGCCCCCCGACCCCCCTACCTGCGCCCAGCGCCCCGCGGAGCAGGCAGAGCAGGAGGAGACCCCCCCAGAGCATGGTGGGGGTCGGGGGGCTCAGAGCCCCGCCATGGGCCGGGACCCCCGCGAGCCGCGCACCGAGCGGAGCCGGAGCCGGAGCCGGGCGGGGCCAGGGGCGGGGCCGGGGGTGGGGATGGAATTGGGAAGGGCTGGGAAAGGATGGGAAGGGATGGAGCTGGAGCTGGAAACGGCCCCAGGACCCCCCGAGCGCTCAGGGGGCTCGGGAATGTTCGGCCACCCCTGGGCTGGGTCAGTGCCCCGCACCCCGCGGCGACATCTCCGGGTGCCCACTCGGGATTTTGGGGGGCTGGCTTGAGACACCAGCGAAGTTTGGGGTCCCCAGGGCTGTCCCCACTGCGGGTGACCCCGCTCTGGGCTGAGCCCACCGCCCCCCTCAAGCCACAGGAGCACTGCAGCCCCCTTGTTTGGGGGGGCCGGGGCCCCTTCACCCCCACTCGGGACCCCCCATCCACAGACCCGCAGGGGACGCGTCTCTGCAGCCCGAGGCTTTGTGCCCTTCCCGGCCCCCCGGGTTTTCCCTTTGGAGAAGGAACAGCAGATTTGGGGGTCCTGGGGGGCACAGGATGGGGGGCAGAGCAGCGGGGGGACACAGTGGGGGTGGGTGGCACAGAGTGGGGCAGCCCGACCCTCCAGCTCCCACATCAGCCGCATGTGACCGACTTCTGGCCACCCCATAATTTGGGCAGCGTTTTGGGGGGCTCGGGCTGTACCCCAGCCCCCCAGCCCTGGGTGCCGGGGTGGGGGAGGAGGGTTCAGACCCCCCCGAGATGTTCAGACCCCCCCGTGCCCAGGGCCTGGAGAGCGATGCTGACCCCCCCCCCCATCCCTGCCCCGCATCCCCCCGGGGGGCGTGGGGACAATGTGGGGGTCCCGCGGCCCCGCGGCTGCTCGGAGATGAGGAACTAAAAGGGGAAAGGAATATTTTTGGGGATCCCCCAGAGCTGGGTCCATCCTTCTCCAAAACAAAGCGGCGGCCCCAGCGCGGACACGCGAGACTGGGGGGGCCGTGGGGGGCGGGACTCGGCCTCCCCTCGCTGTTGGGGTGTTGGGGGGCAAATAAAAAGGGTGAGAAAAACAAAGTGGGGACTCCCCCAAAATGGGGAGGAAAAGAGGGGGCACCCGGATTTGAACCGGGGACCTCTTGATCTGCAGTCAAATGCTCTACCACTGAGCTATACCCCCGCTGCGGAGCGCTGCCCGCCGCCGCCAATAGCACTGTCACCGCCGGGGAGGGGACACCGGGCCGGGGACACCCCTGAGCCACGGACACCCCGGGTATTGCCACCCCCTGGTCACTGATACCCCCCACCCACATAAACACACATCCAGAGACACCCCCCAAACACGGACACCCCCCGAACACGGACACCCCTCAATCACGGGCACCCCCTGGTCGTGGGCACACATCCCCTAGCCATGGTCACACCGCGTCCATTGTCACCCCCTGGTCAGGGACACCCCCCCACCCACACAAACAGACACCCACGGGCACCCCCGAACCACGGGCACCCCTCAGTCACAGACACCCGACCCACGAACACCCCCCAACCACGGGCACCCCACACGCACAGATACCCTCAATCCAAGACACCCCTCAATCCAAGACACCCCTCAATCCCAAACACCCCTCAATCACAGACAGACACCCCTCAGTCAGAGACACCCCGACCCACGGACACCCCCCAACCACAGATGCACCCCTCTCACGGTGACCTGCCCCAAAAAAACCCCCACCCCACAAACACCGACACCCCTCAATCCCAGACACCCCCAATCACAGACGGACACCCCACAAACACTGGCACCCCTCAATCACGGACACCCCCGTGTCCATTGGCGCCCTCCACCCACACAAACACGCACCCAAGGACACCCAACACTCAGGGACACCCCCGAAACACGGACACCTCTCAATCCAAAACATCCCCACCCACGGACACCCCTCAGTCCCAGACACCCCCAATTCCAGACACCCACGGACACCTCTCAATCCCTGGCACCCCTCAATCATGGACACCCCACAAACACGGACATCCCTATTCACGGAACCCCCTCCCACCCAGGGACACCCCCCACACCCACGGACACCCCAGGGACACCCCCATCCCACTGTCCCCACACTTGCTGGGACACGGCAGAGGCTCCTTCCCCCCCCTGAGCGCCCCCCTCTCTCCTCCCGAGTGACCCTGGGGGGGTCACGGCACCCCAATCCCCCCAAAACCCCTCGAGCAGCGCGGGGCAGCCCCCAGCGTTCACCCGGCCGGTCTGGGCTGTGCGG